AAGGCGGCGGAGCACGGGCACCCTCTTGAGGGCCCGGGTCGCTCGCCGAGCAGGATATTTCCGACCCAACTAATGACGGCGGCAGCGACCTAAGAAAAAATAATACAGTTTTAGAATTTAAAATATTAAATTTTCAGATTACTAAATCATTCAAATACAGTTTAACTTTATTAATCTAGTAAGTCGCGAACAGAGTCTAGTTTAAAAATAATATCATAATTCTTCATTTGCTTTAAATAAGGGTTGAACATTTGTCTATAAAAAAGTTTCTTACTTCTCTTTAAAATAAATCATAACTTAATTATACAAACATTGATTCGGTGTCGCTACTGCCACTCGACCTCGACAACGACAGCGAAGATGATGATGGCCACGGCTGCTGGTGCTGTTGGCACTGCAGCCTGAAAGATAACAGTTTTTAAATTATGCTTTAGACGAGTTATAATAACGTCTAGGCAATAAGAGAAAACGTAAAGTTCATGATTATATTCTTTTATCATAAATATTTTGTAAAATAATTATCAACATTATATCATACCAGTCGTCAACTGCATCCTCTGCTTCCTCCGGGCTGCGATTGCAGCAAGTGAAAATTGATCTGTAAAATACTCATCTACTTATATACTGAGATATAAAAAAAATATTTAACTTTTTTGGTTTTCATGGCAAAACCGGGAAATATATTTTTTATTATAACAAATACTAAATAAAACAATAAAAAATTTAGTTTAAACAGGAGTCGACCTGGTCTTAAAAGCTGTCAAGCACTTTTCCTGATAAAGACTGACGGATAAATATTATGCTTTACATGTAATATCGTATAAAAAAAAATATCAAATAAATTGTTTAAGCTAACTCACCGCACTCCAGCTAATACAGCTTCATATATTCCCCTAGGGCACATCGTGTTATCCGCACCGTGACTAGGAACACAATTCGGGACTCGGTCTCTCAAATTGAAAACATGCTTATATAAACAAACTCTTACTTACCATTGTCAAAGAACAAGCCGCCAAAATGTTTGACTTGTATATAATTATCACAGATTTATCGTTTATATCGGGTACAGTTCTCAGTCACCCACTTTAACTGTAAGGCTAAAATAAAGCACACACTGTAGTTTGTAATTGAAACCTTTGTTATAATAACGGGGTCAGTTAGGAACGAAACATAAAAACTTTACAAAGTGTGCACTTTGTTTCTTTCAAAATTGACCAGATGTTGTAGCTATAGGTAGAAAAAATCTCTTAACTATCTTAGTTTACAATTAGGCAAGGTTTTTTTAGTTTTCGAGAAAGATTCATGGAACCCTTGATTGTTTCACGGGATTCGAACTCGAACGTTAGACGAGATATTTTTATATGACTATCCTGTCCTAATTTAGATTTTCTTACTTACGTAGGGAAGAATGTCATTTTAACATTAATTAGGTCGCTATAGTAAGATATTGTGTTTATGTATAATTTTTATTATATTTAATAGGCTAACGCTTGCCTACATTCGCACTCGATGGAAAGTGTCGATGAGGTCTACAATGTTATGCGTTTGCCTAATGTTGGTGTATTGTATAGAAAAACAAAAATGTTTTTTTATCATAAAATTAAATTTATCTTAGTATAGCTTTTTAAATACTAAAAACTATGGTAAAATAAATTTAATTTTAAATTGATATATATTGTTAAAGTCAAGAGAATTCGTGTTTTTGCTAAATAGTCTTACACTAATTCGTAACTTTCACTACCTACTCTTTTTTCTACAACACGTGTAAGTAGTAAAATCTTTTCGTTTATAGACAAATGCTCATTTTTTTTTTTATTTCTGCTGAGCAATGAAACGTGATTGGTCATCTTTAACTAAAAGGGCGGGATCACTTCTCACTCAGTAAAACGGACTTGCAAACGAAAATCGCCTTTAAAATGGTCAACGATGGCTTTTGTCGATAGTACGTTACTAGTGTATGTAAATGAAAATGTACTGAGGAGCACGAGGAAACAACAGCAGTCATTACACGGGAGCGCTCCGCAGCCCACACAAAGGTATACCCATCATTTTAGTGGGAATTGTTCGTGTTTTATTTTTATGCCGGAGACATTCAATTATTTTTAATTATAGCAGGTCTCGCACAATTACTTGCAATAAGGGTTTACAGTGCCTCCATGTAGAATGGACTTGAATGAAAAATGATAGATGTGGACAAGTAGAAATTGCAAAAAAGAATGTTTAATCAATTAAAAGGTGGGGTATGTAGAGGATGGGGGGGCGGTCTGACGACAGCCAGGCGGCCGGGGCTGACGCACTCGTTACTACGTTCATTTATTTAACCAACAGAACGCGGTAATTGAAAAAATCTCATTTTCTCCCGTCTAGTGATGTAAACTTGTGTTAAAGGAATAATAAAAAAAAACAAATGATCGTCTGGCGGTCGGTCCTGCCGGCACCGGCGTGCGGCCGGCTACTTGTTTGCTCATGTTTTACTATAGGTAACGTTTTCACTCAACCACATTATCCAGCGGAGCGAAACTGTAAGTGTTAGGACTTACTACAAGGGGATTTTTATGGAATTCATTTACATACACCAGTTCATGGACTTTTTAAAAGTAGCAGTCCGACGTCCTCGCTTTTCACGGAGCCATGATTACAACAGGTCACTACAATAGTAATTTCAATCCACTTATCTTACACATGAAGTTATGTAAGTGCACACAAGCCAATAATTTAAAACAAAGTATCATAACAATTACAGCTTTTTCATTGAGATAGTACATTTAAAATTAAACTCTATGTAGTCAAGATAAAGCTACGTTTCAATTATCGTCGTAGAGATTACGAGTGGTCCGATGTTTGTCAATAGGTGTGAAATTGGCGATGAGTCGATACAGAACGGTGGATTGAATAATGTACTTGATTTGTTTGTTTGTTCGTTTTCTTGTCTTTCCTACTGTTTTTATACTCCCGGTCCATTGGTGTTGAAAAAATTTATCGAGACTCTTCAGAAATAAAATTTAATTGGTGGCCAATTTTTCCTAACTTTGTTAGTACCTGCCAAAAAAATTTCGGTACCTCCGTTTAACATACAATGCACAATAATAACTTTACTTTATTTTAAAACAAAAATCATAAATTGTTTCTTAAAAAATATCTGTTTAGGCATCCGTAATTACTTGTATGTTAATAAGTAAGTATTTCGGCGAACATATAGTATATGCCGTCTAAAGCCGTTTCAATTACAAAGTAAAATACTCAGAATCAGACATTTTTTATTTTTATGTGTCGTCAGTCAACAAATCAAATGTAATATAAACCAGCCGGCCATTAAGTAGGTATCGCGCAATAGGTGTAACATTTCAGAAGTTAGGCCGAATAAAAACAACAATAAAAGTGAAACTCTCTCAGTGGAATAAATAATTTCCACTATGTCATCAATCGCTTCACTAAACCATAAATTGGGAGTGCGCGTCAAACACGCGGCGTATCGCGTTACAGCGACACACCCGTCACCATGGCAACCGAGCTGTCATTAAAAAAACGTTTCATTAGCTCACCAACACGTCCCAACGAATTCCACACAAATTAACATAAATTGTTTTCGTCAACTCCTGATAATCTTACTCTAAGTTCGCTTAATGTTCATAAACACTTTTATATAGATGCAAGACACGTTTGTGCAGTTTAATTCATAAATAAAACAACTATAATAATGCGAGATATGCCGGTGACGCGGAGAGGCATAAACTCGGTAATAAAGTTAGTGACCAAGTGAAAACGATCCGAGTTGTCATCGTACTAAGTTTATATCCGCCTCAACACGGTTAAATACGCTTTTTACAACTCCAGAAACCAAGCACCCATTCTACAAAGAGAAACATTTCAAAACCGACTATTTATTTGCGTGTAAAATATAAAAGAAGAACTCCGTATTACTTTTATACAAGAGTTAACAAAAGTGAGCAGCGACGTACTGTTAATATTTTTCAATTTACTTATCTGTCGGCGGAAATCAATGTTTCACATAATTTTAAATGTAAGTAACCTAATCGAAGGCCGGTGTGTGTCGACGGACGAATTTACCAGATTCAGATGTAATCAGAGCGACAAGAAGCCGCATCGGAGCTCGACACTAACACGATAACAGAGTGGGTTTACAAACAGGACTGAACCCGAGCGGGTGGCGGGTGGCCGGGCCCAGCCCGCGTCCAACCAGCCTCCGACACACATAAACTAACACACATAACTGCTGTGAACGCGACGAAATCAATTCCCAGTTCCGATTCCGAGAAGTGACACAGTTTCTTAAGTGTCGCATCACTACCGACGGACCGCTAAATAAATTCTAATCGTCCCCATATCGTCCACATGCCAATCTAGTCCCTAACACCACGATATAGGTGACCTTTTGTACCCAACCAGCCGAGTAGTTACAATATAAAGAAGAGCCACCTGTCCCCACGAAAATCTTTATAGCCGCCATAAAATTTAAACCTCAAAAGAAAAAACAAAAAGTATGGATTCATTTTTTTCTTTTACGAGCGGGTCCCATTTTAGTTCGTGTTTACCTAAGCTGTCACCTTACAGAATGGCGATTTTGACTGGTCGGGTCCGTTGAATTAATTGTGGAGTTTTGGAGAGATATCGTCTGATGGGCGATAACGTCCAATGGACGAGCTGCCTACTGTCGGTGGGAGCAATTTGCTTAATTCTGACAGTTTCGGTCGCGGAATTAGAGGTCCGCTTAACGTGCTTAATTGTTACGACGTCCAGTTCTGAGAGCCAATGTTCGTAAATTGTATGTAATGTGAGTGATTTAGAGATTAGGCGGTGCTATCAATTAAACGGTTACAGTGAACCTGGTACCGACATCCATCTAGATGGCTGACTCGCCGTTCTACGTACTGCGAATTGGATTTACATCAGAGTTGTTACAGAACTGATTGCACAGTGAAGTATCACTTCTCACTTTGATTTAAATTATGACTGATGGTATAGGTTATAAATGAACTTACCGTGCGAGCCGACCGCGGCGGAGTAGGGGGCGTGCATTTGTTGATGGTAGTAGCGGGCGCGGCTGTGATGGCCGCCTTCCAGCGGGGAGTGGAAGAAGCCGTCGCCATTGGCGTCGGCGTTGACGTCGCCGGCGGCGGGGCTGCCGTTGACGCGGCCCTCGTACCACCGCTGCTGCAGCGCGCTCGCCCCCGACCCCGCGCCCTCTCCACTCATGTCCATGGCCGATCCGACCTCACACACCATGCATCGCTTTTATACACACACACTAAAAAGTCCACTCCCCTATCAACATTCCTAAAGTCAGATTGGTGTATGATGAACCCGAACTAAAGTGTGGTCGGTCTCAGTCTTAGCATTTGTAGATCTCAACTTGAGGCAGCAGTTGACGACCAGTTCATATTGCACGTATCTGTGGAAGATAAAAGTACATTTAAAATACGAGAAATGTAATAATCGTGACGTAGAAAAGGATAACAATACGTGATTCAATAAATGAAGCTTTAAAATCCGGGAAAACCAATTAGGCACTATGTTACGTGCACACGGATGTCATGAGGGAATTTTTTAACATCAAAGAAACACCAATCCGGCCCGATGTTTTGTCAAAAAATAGACAATCAATTAAGATAGTAGTGGTGTGCTATCAAATACGTCTGCGATATCGATACGCTCCCAATTTGATTAACTGATAAGGTACGAACAACACTCGAACCGCCACGATAAGCGATGACCGGGTATTAAGCGTTGTTATGGCCAACCGAACTGTGATTTTTATTACTACTTATACCTGCTCGCGATATCTTTATCTGCTTTTGGCACGTTTACTTAACACTTAGTCCGTACACTACCTTACATCTTGCATTAACCAATGTAAAAAAAGGTTTTATAAATATTAACGAAAATGTAAACAATTTGTATGCAGATTCATTTATTTATTTATAAGATTATAAATCAATAAATCAAAAAGCGAGGTTGAAACCAAAATATCAATTGATGTTATATTCATACTAGAATCACAAGGTTTTTCGTTAGGATAGGTAAGTATTTATTAATATTTACTTCAGTGTACGATATGTTTAATTAATAAATGTTTCTTTTCGCTTGCATTATTACATTATTGCTCGAATAATTACAGTTACTTATTATAATTAGGTATATAATCTCAAAACAATTTGACAAATGACTACATACTTTCATTTTGCATCTGACATTTCACAAGCTCATAAAGTATGGATATTGCTGACATTTAATTCTATTCATACAAATATGATACTTGATAAGCTGCCGCACCCGTACTATCATTTTAGTATTCCACAGTTCGAATGTTAATAATAGAATAATTTTATAGGCATTTTGGACCTACAGGTAATAGAAAATGGCTTTTCAAAACTCACAATATACTTATGTATGTAAGTACTTGACTAAATACTTTAACAAAATGTATTAAAACAACTACCATTTAAAATAAATAAAAAATCAAAGTCAACGATCTATGAACATTGTCCACCTACAATTTTTAAAGTAGACCGGCCACCTGATGGTAAGCAATTGACGCCGCCCATGGACCCATGGACACCAGCAACAACAAAGGAGTTGCAAGAGCATTGCAGGCTTTTTGGGGATAAAGATGGGATTTATTGGTCGGCCGGCCCATTCGTGCCGAGGCATATGGCTCTCGCCCACTTATCTATATAATTTCGGACTATTTCAATTGATAGATTCATTAAGAAATGTATTTCGAATCAATGTTACTCTTTAGGTTCGTAAATAGGCGAACGTTATTATCAGTATGTAAGGTAGCTGTCTAAGATTTTTTTTAATAAAATATATTTTTATAATTATTGTCGCATCGCGGCATCTGTAAAATCGTTTTCTGGTGATTCCGCCCGCCGGCGTCAAATATTTGGTTCTGTATTTTTTTAATAATTATTTTCTTGAGCATTGTTTTAATTTATATAAATTTCTTGTCTTATTAGCCGTGTCTTCAAAAGTCAATTGGAAAAGAGTCCTACTGATTAAAATCTTCTTACTTATAGCGGAAATTAAGGGCTAAAAACAAAAAAGGTTTACTAATTAAGTCAAATAAACAAATAAGTACCTACACTTAGGATATGCTGTAAAAAATGTACTTAGGTACATCTTAAAGTATTTGTTGAAAGCATACGTTAGTTCTTCTATTCCTAATTAGTCACATACTTGCTAGGTGTACCTACCTGAAAGATCTAATGTAGGTACAATATAATGGCGACTTGTAAATAATGTAGCTCAAAAACTACAAAAGCGTTATATGAAGAAAAAATATAGAAACTACTTCACTGCAAACTGCATTTGTTTTTTCTGTTTTATGAATTTCGAATGTTGTCAGCGTTGTAAATTCTATTCTAAATTTAAAATTAAACATAACATACTTATTAGAACAGATGATCCTACCTACGTACATACATATGTAGAACAAATATGTTCTATTAAAAGTTACATAAGTACAAAATAAATGCCAAATGTTGACATTTAATAAATTATGTCTAAACATATTAATATTTTTAGCTTAGGTACCAACAAAGTATTGAGCAACAAAAAATTACCTTTAAGTACTCGGAACAATCACATTGACTTTTAAATTATTCGCCAATGTTTTAAATATTTTAGTATGTCCTTACAAACATTTTATAAAGAAGAAAATATTATGAAACAAAATGTAAAACCCTGGTGTACTCGGTTTTATGATTTTTGAGGGAATCAAATGGTTTTATTTTCCCGAGAGGAAGTGTCAGACTCTTGCTGACGCCATTCCTTCTCCTGTTCCAGAGCTCCAGAGCCTCCTGCTCAAGGCCGCGGTTCATTATAGCGCTTGCATCCACCACCCTAGCAACTTAATATTTTAAGATTTTAAGGTTTCTTATTATTTTAAGACAACCTTTTCCCATTTAAAGTTTACTCGTACTGCACCTCAAAGTTTTCCTTCAATTCTATTCTTAAAGGTTATAATTAATCTTCAATGTCATACCCTCATCGTATTTAAATTCAATACTTTCCAGACAGAAATCTGCAAACGAATCTAATCTTTGAAAACATTTTATAATTACTCAAGGCTTTACTTTGAACAAGGACTTTTATACCAATGTACTTGATACTTTAAAAAAATCGTTTGTGAACAATTAATTATCGTTCAGATAAGGTCCGTCAGATATCTCAATCACGATAGTAATCGATTTCCATTATCAACGACATATAGACTTATTTTATTAAAAGCAAATTTGAACACTTAGCTTTACTTATCAAACTTATTATTTGATAAAAGTATTTTATAAATTTCTACCTAATTTCCTACCTCATGGAGACTGATTAACATCTTATTTTTAATTAAAAAAGTATATTTAACTTGCCTAGTAACTAGGTGTCTTCAATAAGTTAATGTCATAGTAATATATTATTATTATTTCTTTCATTTGTTTTATTAGAAATCTTGATGTTAATTGTTAGTAATTCATTTACGTATCAAACTTGTGTATATTTATAGGTTGAATTTAATATGAAACAAACAATTACAATTAAATAACAAATTAAAGGTCTACAGGATTCTGCTAGAACAGCGTAATTAAACACCTATAACATAAAACAAAAAATCCCAAAAGTTAAAGTTACATCGCAGTTGTTTTTTCCTTTAAAATTCAATTAAGTAACTTTCTTTTGCTTCATATTCCATTACAAATTTAATCTCAATAAAGAACGAACCAGTCAGTATAGACATATTTAATATCAGAATAATTTAAAGGACAAATAATGCACAAAACTGCAACCTTTAAAGAGAAATAAAATTTCTATTGTTCACAAAAAAGGGGTATTTGGCAGATAAAATGAATAATTCTATTCAGATGCTGTTACTGAGATAAGAATGAGGTGCTTCTTGTTTTGTCTCTCATTTATAAAACAAAGCATTATCATACTATGTACTTATAGCATAGTAAATATATTTTTACATTAGGGTTAGACGCATATTTCCATTATAAAAAGACCTCAGCATAAAGTCACGTTCAGTTTAAATGATAGGTCTTCTTTTAATGGATTTTTCATGTGCCGCCGCATAAAAAAATACGGATAATAACTAAGCGAATACTTTTTTGTTTGAGATTCTATATTCATTTAAGTTTATAAAACAAATTAACGTTCTAAAACATACGACTAACGAAAAAAGTTTTTAATGTTAATGTCGCCTTTTGTATATTTTTTTTATTGAAAATAATTTTATTTTTAAATCTATGTCCAAATTTATCCTTGTCGTATACAATGATACCTATGAAGGTTATAAAAAATATTTTTTCGAAGCTTCAATTCATTAAATTCAATAAACATTTCTGTGCTCTTTTGCCTTTTCAGTGAAAGAAAAATTAAGAGTTCAAATAAAAACCTAAACGGAGGTACTCGCTATAAAGTAAATACTTTGAATTTCATCTCAAATAGTGTTAGAAAATAAGCTAGATTCTAAGTTCTTTCGATTATGGATCGGTAATAGTCTCGGTCCATGTATGGCAGTTTTAATAAGACCCATGTTATGTGGCGATATTCTACGCGTATACCTCTATTCCAAGGAAACTAGTGACCCTAAATTAAATAAATTAATTATTAAAGGTAACACAAATAACAATTTATGATTTCCTATATGTCTTCCAACTTTTTATTAAATCGCTATAAAACTCAAACACCCGCCTTCCTAATCAGAAAGTTTGGGTATCGAATTACAATTAAGAAAAATAACATTAAATCCAACTTTAATTTATTGTTTGGTTGTTGGATTTTAAGAAAATTATTTTTTTATTATTATATTTTTTTAACAAAATAGTCATCATAGCCATTTAATTAAATAAATTAGCAGGACAATACTATAATGTGTAGATTCAACATTTTGTATCTTTTCTAAAGGTATTCAAATGGACCGACTTTTATGTGTTTAACATACATATACATATCTCGACTTTAAAATATGTTAAACATAAAAACAAAAACGATAAACACGGTCTTTTTAAAATGCCTTCAGTTTTACGACCTTGTAAAATAAATATATAAGTACATATATAGGCAAACGGGTATCTATTTCAAAATGATAGTATCTACATATATATTCTACATTATAAAAACGTACTCAACAATCACACACATACAAATAATAAATAAAATGTTTTAAGTAGCCAAATCTCTTACTTGATAAGATGAAAATCTCCAGTGAGTCTTGATAATTTCCAAAGAATATATAAGTACACAAGATATAGTATGTATGTAGTGATCTATCACAACCGACGAGACCGCTATCTGAGCATCGACTGAAAAATGGATTTGCCGATAAAAAAAAGAAATCTCACGTTTTTATCGCAAATTACGTCGATTTTATGTGATTTCCTCGTAATATCAGGTGATAAGGGAACTTATCGGGCGGCACCATTGCTCTGTAATCACTATTTTTCACTAATTCAACGATTTTAAACTTTTATCAACATTTAATATTACGATTTGATTTATTTAACGAACGCTAATTATGTTTTTCATAATTATCTTAAAACTATAAGTGCCAATTATTAAATTCGCATGTCGAGTCGTGTAATCTGAGCAAAATGATTTATAAATTAAGGAGATATCTTAATTACAACAGGCTAAAATACATTATTTCATGATTTACTTACCTACTTATCAAGTTAATATTTCCCAACAAATCACGCCCATTGAAATCATCAATCGTCAATTCAAACATATAAATTCACACCCAATACTGTTGAATCATTATTCATAAAGATATCATAATAATATACATTATCATAATTTGATATTTGACAATGTTTTTCACAAATCATAATTCTCAATGGGCTACAGAACGCCTGCTGTGAAATTGCCTATCAGACATACAAAGTAACAATTTATCAAAAAAAAAATAACGGACAAATTTTTAAAAATACATAGAGAGACAGTAAATACCTGTGAACACAACTTTTAATATACTTAATTGCGAAAATTTTAGTATGAATATTAATTTATTGTAATGTAGTGGTTTAATCCTAAAATAGTATGGATATTAATTAAATATATCGGATGGCGCTGTTGTCGTTTTGTTCTCGGAGCCCTGCATAAACTGGTCTCACAATTGATCCGGCAAACGCAAGTGATCGATGCGCTCGCGCAAGTTACTTATCTCTACGGTACGTAGGCCTATCGTGGCTGGGATCGAGCGATCGCGAGCGGTAGCACATTCAAGTTATAAATCATCGCTGATTGCCTATAACTCGGTACCAATGATAAACATTGTGATTTTACACCCGTCCAACGGTTTAAATTATAACTTCATGAATATTATTAGGGTCCAGTGCGGTTGATGCTGCTGAAAATTCAATTATATTTCGTGGTTAATAAAGTTTCAATTCGGTATAATTAGACTGAATTTTGGAGTGAAATTAGTGGGTGTCGTGATTATATTTTCTACTTAATAACGTCATGCTAGTAATGTCGATCTATTCATACTTCTCTTTATTTTTCATCTCAACTTCTCCTTCAAATAAATATTTCAAAACAGACATCAGATTGATAAAACCTCTTCATGCTACAACATTAGCATAAAAATAACTGAACATATAATCCCTTTAAGTAAAGAAGAAACAGTACCGAAGTAACGACTAGAATAATAACAAAAAACCTTCTGGAAACTGGAAAGAACCCAGAACTGTATTCAATGATTACTTGACCGTTTTGAAATTAGCCATCATATTTGCATCACACATAGTTGCAGTGTGTGCAGAAGGATATTGAAAAAATAATAGTGAAATGTCTCATCATATGCATTATAGTTCTCTTGTATATTCAATTAATATCATAAAAATGCTACCACTACCAACAGCTCTCCCACAGATAATACAAAATATTAATGAAAACTACAATCTAGTAGTGAGCGCTCGATACCATTTAGACCGCTTTTGTTTTTTGTACCTTTATGTTGATATGATTGGAAAACATAATTTTAACTTTAAACTGCTAATTGGACACTGCACTTGTAGATACTTATAGTTTATAATATGTTATGTAGGGGTAAAGGAATTAGACTTAATAATTAACAACCTACCAGAATCAACAGTAGGTATAACTAAAACAAATACCTAAATAATTCAAAAGGTTATCGCCCTGTGAAGGACATAGTACAAAAAACCTAAAATAAAACCGATGCAAAATTCCATTCAAACTATCAAAAACTAAACACACAGATGCCAATCAGTTTAAAGATAAACAAATTAATTTAATAGTCATCATCTGAACTTGTACAAGCGTTTACACACTCCTATCAGTCTTATTAAGATTAGGCGAAGGTCCAATTAAGATAATTGATTCCCCTATGGACCTCCCGGCCGAAGTCCGGGGCCAAAAACTTAAAAAGAAAAAACCAGTATTATCTTGAAGTTTATCGACTCGCTTCGATACTAAATCGATCAAGACTTTTACTAAAAAGCATTTAGAGTAAACCTTTTTATTTATAGATTATTATGATAGGAAATATCGATGAAAACTACACTATTCAAATCTCCTACCCACGTGCGTTTTGTCGCTTTAGGCTCAAATTTTTGATACTGATCTTTTTAGCAGTCATTAAAAATGTTGTTTGTAGTTTTAATGTTGTTTGCTTTAGGCCCAGTTGTTGCTAATAAAACATTCCTTCTAAACCTCAAGATTTACATAATAACGAATAGATATTTTTATGGTTATTTTTGCAAATCAATTCGAACTAAGAATTCGCCTCGATGCTACAGTTAGTACTTGATTACAAAATATAAAATCTATTTTAAGAAAACTAAATCACTTACAAAACTGACCAGCAATCTTATTAAAACAACAAAAAGGTTTAAATAAAAAGGAACATGTCAACGGTTTTAATAGCTTCATACAAAGGTGTTGATATAAAAAGGTTCCATCAAGTAACATCACTTAAACAGTGTTGGGAGTTCGTCCCAAATTACAGACAAGAACTCTAAGTGTCGCGTTTGAAGGACTTGGAATAAATAAGGAGAATTCATATCAAAGGCTTGGTAAACTTAATCGTCGTTTTGCCGTTAAAATTAGAGGTGCCCTACCTATAATTTGTACACAATACGACAGTCCAACTACCTTTAATTTAAAGCCCAAACAACAATTTATAGACCCAACAAATTGTGAATAAAACGGAACGGTACAACAGTCAAATCGATTACCTGCGCTTGATCACTCAGATTGATCGATGCCTTTTTAAAAACAACCACATCGAATAATTTATTGATCGGACAAAATTTTCATAGAAAATTTAATAATCGAATGTCGATAGGTGTTTATTGTACAATTTGAATTGATTAATACAACAATTTGTAGATGATTGTGCTAATTGAATGATTAATAAATAGCTGTATCGATTAATTCTGTCAATCGTTGAGAAGTGTTTGCATGTTTACACCTTGTCGACATAAAATACATAATTTGATGTTTGATTTCAACACCACCTACTTTATTATATTAGAAAATGACACTCGATTCATAAAATTGAATAATTTTGTCATGTTATTCGTGAATATTTATTTTGCCGAATTTAAAAGTCGTCGCGGATTGGGTTTTCTCTAGAAAAGTTTCTGCTTTTTAAATATAAGAAAACGCACGTTTCATACAGCAAATGTTTCACCATATTTATGTCGCTTAATATATTTAAATGTTATAATTTATCGTCACATTTGTAATTCAAAATCAAAAACCTTGTTAACATGTAACACAATCCGCGAATATCAATAAAATGTATTTACTTGTATAACATATATTCATAGATAATAATCTACAGCCTTAATACATCTATCTACTTGGGAAATCTAGGCTTTATTTGGTAAAACATCGAATGCTAATGGATGCATCTTAAAATTTAAATTAGATTGCCGAATTAAAGTCATTAATGGAAAACCGACTTTTGCTAGTCTTCCAACATCTGAATTTAGGTTTATAAATTATTTAAATAAAGTTTATTTCGTAATTTATAAATCGAATAGGCAGGATATAACATAGATACAGCCACTAGCGGAAACGCTTACTTCATACACACTCACACATACAAAATGTGACGGCTTATCGGCAGCTAATCGATTTGCGTTTGCGCATCTCGGGGCGCATTCAAATTTCGATCGCGGACTGTCATGGCGGCTCGATTGGCCGAAAACAGCCGAACAGCCGATATGAAAACGAAACGAAGTGGCATTGACATTGATTGGTTGTTGAGAAACTTCAAACAAAGGGTACATAGATTCAGTCCAGGTACGCTTGAGCATATAAATATTTTTAAATTCAAATTTTATTGCACACACACACACACACACACGCCATGATGTCAATTTAAATCCGTTTATTTTGCATGTGATGTCATATCTAGGAATGTGAATTATATCTGTAGGTATTTGACAAACTATGCCTTATTTTTTATTCATTCAAATGACAATATAAAATAGCATGAACTGTTTTACAAATAATGGGTGGAGACAGGCGAATAAAAGTTGAACTATAGGTTATTTTGGTAATTCGGCAAGATATGACGATTAGTGTAACGATACATATATATAAGTATATAAAAAATACAATGCTACATATTTAATTATACAATAGATAGGTACTGGTATACTTAATAATATTTGACTCAAAAAATTTTAAAAGCGACACCAATAATTTTATACCTAAGTAATGTCTAAAAATTGTTTATTTTATTTTATCAAACAATGTTATTCCAAACTTTCTTATAACATTTTTGTAAAAAGATAAAAATAAAATTAGTATATTTTATTTATTTAAAGAAAATTTATTAAATAAAATTTTACACAAATGGGAAACCCGTTTATGTCTTTTATTAGAGCAAAACGCATTTTATACCTTAAAATAATTCATTTAAAAATGTAAATTCAACATTAATACTACATTTGATTTGGCATAATTTGTCACATTTTAAATTATTTGTCATAATACTGATAAGAATCGTGTAGGTACATGTATGTGATAAACGGATGAATAATAAATTATGTTCAATAAAATTCTTCTGATAATATTTTTTTTTTGTAAAACATTTTTTATGATATGTTTTTGTTGGTTTTATTATTTTTTTATGTTGCAAATTGCTAATTCATATTCGCACCGTCGTCCGTCGGAAACGAAGTCCGCGGTTATTCGTTGTGCGATAAACAAGAGCGTTTGTCAATAGTTTTAAGATACATATTATGAATAAACTGCAAATTAAATTTATCTATACGACTGTAACAAGTGTGCTGTTTAACTATGCACCAATTTTATAACAGTTCTTGTGCAAAAAATCTAACAATGTTTTGTATCAAAACATAGAGTCAGGCTATTATTTTCTTAAAACAGCATTCCCCAGATAATGTTCCAAATTGTAAAATGCTTACG